TTTTTGCTAATAATTCTATTTTTAGAATGTTTAACTTTTAGGTGTGCTCGTCCTTAAGTTATTTGTTTTTGTTATTTTATGGCCTTATAACAATTATATTCAAACAATTTTATTGAGCTTGAGGCCGTTTTTAATGAAAAAATTGTTGTGGAAAAGCAACAATAATTTGAAAAAATGGTAGAAGTGATAGCTATTTCGGAAATCACCACATTTCCTCATCAGACTTCTTTCAGTAGGATTCGATAATTGTTATAAGGCCATAAAATAACAAAAACAAATAACTTAAGGACGAGCACACCTAAAAGTTAAACATTCTAAAAATAGGATTATTAACAAAAACCAACAAAACCAACAACCACATGATTAAGTGTAAATAATAGCAGAATAGCTGCGCTTGATTGTGTTGGCTTAACAAATGAAAAAGTGGGGAAAAAAGCAACGATAATTTACAAGGCGAACTTAGCACAGTGCGTAGGCAACTGGCTGAGTCAGTGGGATCGTCGGTTCGAATCCTAATGAAAGAAGTCTGATGAGGAGATGTAGTGATTTCCGAAATAGCTATCACTTCTACTTTTTTCAAATTATTGTTGCTTTTCCACAATAAGTTTTTCATTAAAAACGGCCTCAATCTCAATAAAAATTGTTGAATGAAGAAAAAGGTTGGGTTAGATATCACAACTCTTCATACTTCGACTTAGAATGATAGATGTATGTATATGAACAATATTTTCACAAAAACACGCGTGAAAAAATGAATGATATATACTTAATTGTTTTAATTTGCATGATCTTAATACCAGTATTTGGTACTCAAAAAATATCATACTTAATAGAAGATTTGTGTTCTCTATTTTAATATTTTCAATCTTATTTGTTTTTGTAATTTATGGCCTTATAACAATTATATTCAACATTTTTTATTGAGCTTGAGGCCGTTTGTAATGTTATTGATGCTTTTCCATAATAGTTTGCTATTACAAACGGCCTCAAGCTCAATAAAAAATGTTGAATATAATTTTCAATCTTAGTCCGATTTTAAGTTCGGAAATGCTAAGATGGAGTACGAAAAACTTGATCCCTTCTCTGAGTGTACGCGTAGGATTTGATTCTGAACATGAGATGTTTAAAATATACAAATAAATATACACATTAAATGTTTTAAATTGCAAAAACTTTGAAAGTAAATATACATTAATTACTAATAACAAACATTAAGTGCTCATATTTACCGAATTTTAAACATTTTATGTGTAATTTTGCTATACGCGACAAATTTGGTATGTAAAAGTAAACAGCCAGTGTTTAATTTTATTACACGGTGTTTAAATTTCCGCACATTAGGGGAGAAAACTGGTTACGTCTCTTATATGCGTAAATTTGAACAAAAAAATTTTAGAGCTAGTTTTAAACATTTTATGTGTTAAACTGTGAAATTGTGAACAATAAATGTTTAAGTAATGGCAAGTAAAAGGAAACAAGCAGTGTTTAACTTATGGCGTTTTCATTTCTACAAAAAAGGTTGCCTTCTCATCGCCCTCTTCTTAGTGTTTGTGCGTAGAGGACACAGAGAAGGTTGAATTTTTCGGTAGAAACGAAATCGGCATTAATTAAGACGGTAACCTATCTTAATATGCGCAAATTTAAACAAATTTTTTTTATAGTGTAGCTACAACAACTCGCCCAGCCTAACTCCCGATTTACATGATTCAAGTACTTGCAAGCAATTCTTCGTAATTCTCTCGAATTCAAGTTTTTGGTTATAAAATGGCAAACTACGAAAATGTCAAAAGCAAAGCAATAAAGTTGAAATGACTTCACGGTACGGACGCATGTGTATTCGACACTTGTCTGCTCACCCCTCTCTTCCACATGCGAGCAGAATTTAATTCAATACTTGAACTGCGTAAAAGCAAGTAAAATGCAAGGCAATTGGCCGGCCGGTTCTGAATTATGCCGCGCCTATTTAGGCGGGGCTTGGTATGAAATGCTGTGCGGGGGCTGGAAAATATTGTGATTGCATACTTGAAAATATGACAAAACAATTTCCTTTATCGTTGCCTTTTTCTTTAGTTGACCGTATCTACATGTGCATCTACATATGTATAACATTTACTGAAAATGTATCTTATTTGCTCTTTCAGGTTTTCACTTTATTGTCGTACTAGTATACCCTCCAAGTCAATAAAATATGCAATATTCTTACTTAACCAAAACATTGCTCAGCTTTGCTATGATATAACGGGACTGCGATGTGATATGCGTTCAACACTGGAAAATATTAATCAGATATTTATCTTTTTATCTGAGACTCAAAACTCAGATCAAAGTGAACAGAAGAAATCAGATGTGTACATTAACAAATCTTTCACACCAAGTTTCAACAGTTATAAAAATGCCAGTAACGGCTGTGCAAAAGCAGCCACTAATCAGCTTTCGAGGTCACAGTCTTCAGTTGATATAAATAACATGCCGTTTCCGTTGACGACAGCAGCGCCGCATAATTTCTTGTTGCAGCTGCCGAATAGCATACCTCTGTCAATTGAAGGTGATTCTATTTTAAAACAACGGTTAGTATGCAAATGACTTTTACTATACTCACTTAAATTCGTTTAGCAGTAGTTTTACATTGAAGTTATTAAATAGGTTTTAAAATTTATAGCCCAGTCAGGTTAGCTAAAAAAATAACGGTAAACTTACAGTAATTCGCATAAAGCTGAAAATTGGTACGAATATTGCGAACACTATCAGGCATGTTCTGAAATTCGAAATTTGAAATCGAATCGATTTCGATAATTTTTTCGAAGGTTTTTAACCCAAAAATTTAAAAGTCTCGCATTAAAATTATGTATTCCATATCGCTGCTACTTCTTTTACGGTTTTCAATTAGAATATTCACTCTTCTCATCAGATATAATCAAAAAATATTTGGCAAATCGAGTCGATTTCAAAGTTTCGAATTTCAGAACATGCCTGTATAATGAATGTAATGTCAAAAGCAGGGTTCGGAAATTCTCATTTATGATTATTCCTTTTCACTTATTTATGAGATCATGATCGAAAATCGAAAATATTTCATAATTGTTTTTGCATTCTTTTATAGCGACTGAAAAATGCAAACAAATTTATCACGTCTCATATTTGGAATGCGAAACAATTTTCCGCTGTCTTTCATTTACGAACGAAAAAAGCAAAGAAATATCTTCTCACTCAAATATGAGCAGTCTGAACATTGCCGATGTCGCACAGTGGGACGTCCCCATATAAGATGCGGCTAAAAGATGTAACCGTTCGGCACTAGAAATTAACTAATGTGGAAAATGGTAAAATTCAACGCGCTACCACGCCCACAGCTCTTGTGGGCGGAAATAGTAAATGTTACCCGATTTTGATGAAATTCAGAGTATATCGACTGCTGAGTGGAAGATGGAGCTATCTGGGAAGCCAGTTCGAAAACGCCCTATCTCAAAAAACATTTCAAGAACGCCTTATTTCAAAATTTTATTGAAAAACACCCTATCTCAGAATTCGGTTCAAAAGCGCCCTTTCTTACTTCATAATATTATTGAAAATGTGCTGATATAGGGCGGTTTTGAAACGAATTCTGAAATAGGACTTTCTTGAAAAGTTGTTTGAGAGAGGGTGTTTTCGAACTGGCTGCCGAGATAGGTCGATCTTCCACTCAGCAGTCGATATGCTAGTTTTAACGAGAAAATCATAAACCTGAAAGATCATCAAAATCGGTTTACATTATCGTCCAGTAATTCTAGAAAAACAAGCGCAAGTTAAAAAAATATATTTTAATGAAATTCGGTGTTCTCTGCTCGTTTAAGTCAGAATTTTCAATTTGGAAGGTAATAAAGGGTTTCTTATTACGGCGCCCACCTTCTACACACTCTTTTGGCTCCAAGTACTAAATTTTATGAATTTTTGAGAAAATGAACAGGCACATTTATGGTATTTCTAAAGAAGTTTCTATTTCTTCATTCTAAAAATGACAAAACGAAAACATTTACAATACCTGTGTACTAAATTATGTGCATGATATGTATTTACACTGAAACTTTCAATTTAACCTACATTTTATACCACAAAAGCTGAGCTAAAGCCAGCAGGACTCTTGCCATTGAAAACGGATCTCGTCTAGAAAAGCGTTCATTTTTGGCTGAATGTTGAATGTGATTAGTAGATTGGCGAGTCATTAATATTTACATCTTCTTCAATTTCCATTTTATATTGCATGTTATTTATTTTATGTACACACCAGAGTCTTTCCCATGAGCTCTACAATAAAAATTCAATAAATTTTACAGTAGGTGGGTCTATAAAAGGAAGAATAGAAGAATAGAAACTGAACTCGCAGTTCCTCGCAGCTGAAACTATTTGAGATATGATACGCATATGTAATGTTTACTTGTCCTAAGTATAATTTAGCTCGCTTCCTAGGTCCTTTTTAAATATCCCTTTTTAAAGTAAGCACTCTAAAAATTTTATACTCACAAAATTATGTAGAGTTTCAAAGTAAACTATTTTTTACATGTCAAAAGAATTATAAAAATTTAAAGCAATGCTTGACCACAGATGTATTCAAAAACAGCTCATCAATCAGATTGGCTTTTTATATATGCGCACAAGTGGAAAAATTAATTCAAAATATTTGCGACAAAATCAAAATTTTTTCTTACAAATTTATTTTTTCGCATTGTTCCTACTTTAAGCTCGTGTAATGATTGCAAATATGCATTTTTATCAAACATTCTTTTTGGTTTGGGTCAGCTGGATATTTTGCTATTTATCTGCGTAATTACTTTTTCAGGATACGCTAACCCGGTTTTACTACTTTTGGCCGCTGTAGTCCCATTATTTGTCGGTCGCTCATAAATGGGAAAAACCATGTAAAATTACCATTCGCGATAACTCACAACAGCTTATCGCAATAAACTTATCGCGAACAATTTTCGACGATGTTGTTGGGGAGATGCTTTTCGCGTTTGTTTTGGTTATGCGTTTTGTTATACAGCATGCATATGTACATTAGACTGCGTCACTCCCCATACAAAAATAAGGGTACTGTGTTTCCATTGGAATTATAAAATCTATTATATTTTAAGACTTCCACCAAAATATTTTGGAAAAATATTAAGATTTACGTGAGCTGGACCGATTTGAAAATACCTCAAATAATGAAGTTTTTTATAAATAAAAATAGTTAATTAAGGCTTAAAAAAAAACGCCTAAAATGACCAAACGGTTTAAGCTAAAAAAATGTGCATAAAAATATTTTAAAAAATTTTCAACGGAATCGTAATAATGAGATTTTTTGTGCTGTTTTTTTTAACTTTTTTTTTAAGATTGGTCTAATACCAACTTGAATAACTGAACCTAAACTATTCCGTTTTTGACTTGTGAGGTATCATTGGAAAGGTATTTTGTCACCCTTTTTTCATGCAAAAGATGAAAGAGAAAGGAAGGATGAACGAGCGTCATTCCAAGTTGAATTAAGATGTGTTAGTGTTTGGAAAAAAAAGGACATGAATGAGTTTTTTTTTTGCACAGAAATAAAAAGAGTGGGAAAATACTTTTCTACTGAGCACCCACAAGTATAAATCAGAATAGTTTTAGCCCAGATATGCAAGTTTTTCGTAAATCAAAAATCTCATTACTACGATTCTGTTGAAAAGATTTTTAAATATTTGTATGCAGATTTTTTAAGCTTAATATGTTTTGTCATCTGAGGGGATTTGTTTCAAAAAGTCTTTTAAGAAACTGTTTTTATGCATAAAAAAGTCCATTTTTGGAGGTATTTTCTAAATATTTGGAGGTATTCTTCAAATTTAATAAATTTTTTAATCCCGGCAGAAAATACGCAACATTTTTTTGGTGATGCAGTCTAATGTACATATGTATGTACTATATATGCAACACAGGCAAATGCTTTTCGGTTGGAACGAGTGTGGGAATGTGCACAAATACATATGTATATCGTCACCTAAGGGTGAAAAGGTGCCAAGTCCATTTTTTGAAATTGGTTTCGTATTACCTGCCATTCTGCATCAAAAACTAAATTTTGGAAAAAAGAATGGGCTTGGTATCTTTTCATCTTTAGGTAGCGATGTGAATTATGGTGGTAATATATACAAACATATAAATTACATATGTGGGCGTAGCCAGAACGAAATTTAGGGAGGGAGCCTATACATTTTTTTTTCAAAACCAATAATTGTTACTAAAAAAATTGTTATTATAGTTTAAAATTATTGTAACCAATAGAGGTATGTTGTACACAAACACATAAATAGAAGTTCACAAAAGTTGATATAAAACTATTCGTCGATTTAAATAATTAACTTTTTACTGCACACGGTTTTTTACGTGGAGGAAGCATCGTAAGCCTAACCCCGTCAGTGTCAGGCTTTAACTCAAACTAAACCTCCTACCGTCATGTACCGTTCCCCACACGGTACCACCGTCAAGGATTTCGTCGGGATAATAACACTGGGTGACTGATAAAGTTATAGATCTAATGATGCACAAAAAATATGCATACTTAGAATTTTGAATACCCCCTCACAATCTGGACTTAAGGTATAAAAACGCGTTTTTCGTAGTTTGAGCCTTATAATTGTTCGCAACTTATTTTCTGTTTATCCGATGAAAAATATATACAGTGCGTACACGGTAACCGCAACCCTCAATACGTGCAATTCCTTGATTAATGCAAGTCTCTAAAACAAAACATTGTAACCTTTATAAGTGCAACTGCGAACCAATTTTACCTCAATACCTACAAACTTTCTTTGTTTATGCATGCCACACACACAAAATTTGAACTTTTTGCATTTCTTTGATTAACCAGTATCCTGGAAAAACTACAAAGTGGTGCTTCAGTTAAAGTGATGTGTGATGAGCAGGACCGAAGAAAATAAGCAGGAAAAAATCAAATTAACGCGCTTAGATAAGCATCCACCTCGCAGCTCTTTTTGTGCAATAGTAGATATTGCCCCTACCTTTGCTAATACATTTATATCACGAATATGAGCCAAATCGGACAATAAGACAAATCGGCCACGCTTACCTTGCCTTGCCCCGTCCATCGCATTTCATGGATGGCGGTGATGTCAGTCTTTATTTTCCCGAAGACATCAATCAACCGCGCAAAGGGACCATCGCTATTAAGGGTCCGGATATTCCAGGTGCATACCTTCAAATCATAGTCCTTTCTACGTTTGCCGTGATCGCAGCGCACGCGGGGTTATACGCCTTGCCACATTAGCTCGCTCCCAAAAGGGTGTTTGGTCGCTACCCAAAGGATACGTGGATATAAATATCCGGACGAATTGAGTTGCGATTTGAACCGTAAGCAAACAAATCACTTCTGGCCACTCCCAAGTGAATGGCAAAAGCTTTGCCGTACTGGGAAATTTACAGAACATAGTGGTCAAAGGCCAGTTTCTCAACTGAAACCTAGTGTTTTTTTAAATTCATAGCTCTACATACAAGTATACCAAATAGCCGGAAATAACGTTATTTTTAATAAAAAGTAAAAGTAAAATAAAATTTTCCGTATACT